TGAGTTAATTGTTTCGGTTGCAGAAGAAATAGCATGTTTCATTCGGATCAAAAGTGACTTTGGTCGACTCGCAAATTTTGCTTTCGCTCGGCTTCGCTAAACTCTCCGCCTCGCAAATGCAAAATTCGCTTGTCAAACAAAGTGTCACTTTTGATCCTAATAAAACAATCTACTATTCTACACTACTACCTCTAGAAAACAACATTATTAATTATTCGTATTCGTAAACAAATTATTTTTCTCTAATAGTGTACAATGATGAAATTCTTATTCTCACTAGGTATACCTCTTCAACTTCAAAATAAGACTTGATATTTTCAAATACTTACCCGTACCTACCTACCTACCTAATCAAATTCGACTTGGGAATGATCAATTCCAAATAGGAATCAAACAAATCAAATATTGAAATTCATCAATTTCAGATTGCGTGGAAACTTGAATAAAGTAAACATCAGAAACAAAGTTGTTTGATATATAACTTCTGCATTTGTGAACGGATTTTTCTGAGATTTGGTGGTACATTATATAATCAACCATTTCGAATTTGATCACGTTACAATCCAATATGGCGGACTTCCGTTTTTTAATGGAGCAACCTGTATATTTTCACAAATTCAAGTTCAACAGGTCAAAACAAGTGCAATAATTATGTCGAATATCATTTTTTCGAAATAATTTAAATTATTCGATATGCAAGGAAATTCATGAACTAGGTATAGTTGTTGATTTTTGAATGTATACAGTTTGATACTGCACCGAAATACAAAAATGGCCCAAAGGGGTTCCAATTGAAAAAAAAAGTAAGTTTTTGATCAAAATGTGATTTGTACGAATTGATTCATCGATACGTGACACAAAAAATAATTTTTCAGAAAAAAATATGTTTAATTTAATTTATTTCGAGAAAACCATGACATTTGACATGAAGATTGCACTTGTTTTGACCTGTTGAACTCGAATATGCAGAAATATACAGAGCGTTCCATTTGAAGAAACAAAGTTGCTGGTATTTCCAGATAAACCGGAGGTCCGCCATATTGGATTGTAATGTGATCAAAACCAAAATAGTTGCTGTACCAAATTTCTGAAAAATCCGTTCACGAATGCAGAAGTTACAGGGATGACCGATAATCTGTATCACCTGGTATATTATGTATGTATACAGGCTGACTGCCAAAAAAACGCACCAAATCATAGATGCTGCTAATAACTAATATCCGATTTTGAAGAACAAAAAAGCAAATGAAATTTCTCATCAGATACTATGAATAGGCTCTGATCATCTTTTCAGCGACTGTCAACACATTTTTCAAATGCCAAACTATGTTTGTAATTTTTCTCGGGTCGATTTTTTTTCTGAATACATAAGTATGACAAGTTGGCTTATGGACATAATTAGTTGAAATAAAAAATGAATGCTTCTGCTGATGCAAAATCCAAAGTGAATGTAAACTTATAAAGATATTATCTATTGTGAATGTTTTCATATTTTTATTGATAGTCAAACTGGAAATGAACTTATGAATTACATGAGGTTTTATTCTTTGAAGGAGCTAGCTGTGTTGAAATCATCGTGATATCTTCACGAAAAATTAAACATTCATCGAAATCTTTCCATTTGTTTCAGATGGCATATACCGAGTCAGAAGTCTCTTCCATACGTGGCGAGCTGGAAATCGTCCAAAAAGCCCTAAAACTCCAAACGAAACGATGCCGTCAACTAGTGGCAGAATACACGAAGAGATTGCAAGAAAAAGAGCAGCAATACCGCAGCGAAAAAGCCTTGAGAGACGACCAGTTAGCAAAAGTACTAAGGGCCCTTTTGATCTTCGAGGCTAGACTCAGGCAAGAACAGAAATACATCAGCCATCAGTTGAACGAGAAGGACTACATCATCAAAAAGCAAAGCAACGACATCAAGAAACTGCTGGCCAACCAGTACTGCAAAAGTTGCAACCAGTACTACGTATCCAGCCCCATACAGGAAAGTCTAGACAGCAGCACCGAATACGTAATAACAGATTTCGAATCGCTAGACAGCAGCAGCGAAACATACGCCACCGTCTCAGAAAAAGCCGAGGACAAATCCGCGAGCCTTGAAGAAGACGTGTCCAAATCCGAAACAGAGTCCATCAAGAACATCTACCAGAAGAACCGCAACAAGGACTCGATCGGTAGAAGGTCCCGGAAGGTAACCCACAGGAAGAGCATAGGGACCTATTTCGAAGTTTTGAAGCTCAGAAACGATAGCCCGATCTCGAACGACGAAAACACGAGTAACGACTACGATAACTTGGACTCTTTGCCACCGGAAAGCGTGACGGATCGTATCAGTTTGGTTTCTGAAAACATAGAAAACTTGCTGGACGAAAACCATCAACTCGAAATCAACGAAACGGACTCTAGTCTCAACATAAGCTTATCAGAATGTAATAATACGGTCATCAACAATAGCGCCGAATTGGTAGTAGAAGAAGATTCGACAGAAAAGAAACTTTCCAAGATCACTGAATCCATCCCCTTGTTCGAAGCAGACGGAGAAACGAACGATAACTGGTATGCAAGTACTAGTGACCAGGAAGACGAAGGGCATGGAGGGATTTACAAGGACAATCCGGTACTAGAATGCGTGAACCAAATCCTCCTGCAAAACATGAACGATGCTTTGAACTCCCCTCCGAAAACACCGAGTATAGAGCGAAAATCGGTGAAGAGCAAGAGAGTTAAATTCAGCGACGAGGAAGAAAAAATCAAAGACGAGGAGGTGGCTTTGACTCAAGAAAATATCGAAGGAAAACAGGAGAACTCCTCCCACGATTACTACGAAACACCAATACAAAAAACTCCTAATTTCTATGAGACTCCACAAAGCATATACAGTAACGATTACGAGCAGATCTTGAGTAAATGCAGTGAAACGTTCTCCAGCCCGATACCATCTGAGATGAACCCAGTGAGAAATTCAACCGATGATACCATGGACCATGACTATATCGACATGGAAAACAAAGTTGAAAACCCTGAAAGTGGCGTGGTGGTGAGGAAAAGCAAGATTTTGCGACCTCCCCCTGCTTTGCCCCCAAAACCCGCTAATTTGGTGTCGAAGTATAAAATACATGATTTGTCTAAAGACTCCTCCACCAAAACGAGTACTGAAAGTATTGTAGAAATGGAGCCTGATTATTGTTCAATATCTGAGCTTAATTTGCCGCAAAACAAACCTGTTTCTTTCAAGAAAATCAGTGTGGTTGCAGAGATCAATGCACCAACTTCGCTCGATGTAATCAACAAACTCAATTGCAACGAGAAGGCTAAAAATAAATCAGAATCGTTACCAAGCGATGATTTGACGAAGTTGAACGACAATATGATTGTGAAAAAATGCGTGGAAAAGTTGAACATCCAATTGGCAAAGCACACTCCAATCAAGTCAGAGAGTGCTGTGGTTCAGTCCCCCACCAAGAAACCCGAACCCGATATACCAAAGTTACCCCAAGTGTCGGAAATAATCATCCCTGATGACAACGAAGAGAACGAGAAAGAAAAAGAAGAGAGGATAGCTCAAGACAACTATGTCAAAAATAACTTCCAGGTGCTGATGATGAAAACGAAACGCAAAGAATCCAGAAGACCCATAGTTATCGGCTCTTCAGTTTCGAGTATAATTTCAGGTTTCAATAACCAGCAGTTGCTCAACGAGATTAAACACAAACCGGAAAGAAGCAAGTTGAATAAAACATTGTTTTCTAGTTTTGAGAACCTACAAAACTTGGATAAACAAATCGCGTCTGAAGACGAGCCATCAACTCCTAATTTTGAGAAATTCGACCTCAGCCAAAATTTCGAGGAGTTTAAACTAGACGACTGCGATATGGAGGAATTCACAGTCGAAGACTCAGAAATCAATGGTACCAACGAAATCATAGACACCACTCCCAAAACACCGCAACCATCCACTAGAGTAGAGCTGATTAGAGCTAAAAACGATGTGAATCCTCCTGCTCTGAATAGACATTCTGTGGAACTGCTCAGGAAGCATTTGGAGCTTCAAACAGACAAATCTGATCCCAAACAAAAGCCGGTTAGGGCCAGTCAGCCAACTTACGAGCACTTTTTGGAATGTACCGGTCTGAGTTCCAAGTCGATTCTGACACCATCTAGGATGGTGAGCAACCACAAGAGTATGTTGAAGCCTAAAGATGTCAAGCTGCGTTCCAAAGTAAAAGCGAATAATTTATTTGAGAGAAATAGTACCAGTACCATTCGGTATTGGTCGGAACCCTATATTTAATTTCGAGTGTGTAGGATAACTATACTCTGGTATCCTAGAGTGGCTCAACTCTGTAACTCATTTTTCAAGATATGAATATTCAAATATTACTTTTCAAAAGATATGACGCAACTCATTTAATCTTTCAGTAAATGACACCAAATTGGAAGGTTTGATTCAAGTCTATAATTATGTCATAGGATCGAAATATTCATAATATAGTACTGAATGAATATTGAAATAGATTTGAATAATCCTGAGATATATTACTTTCCTGAATGTCTAAATTTGATAAAAATAAATAATTTGAACAAATTTACGGCACTGAATTCATAAATTGAATTGGAGAATGGTTCATAGTTCAGAAATTTGTCGTTTCCAATCATTGAAGTGAAGGTTGAGAATAGCTGTTGTAAGTGTTGTATCATCTGTCAAAAAATGTTACCTCTCTGGGTCACCTGTATATGTATTATAATTGTTTTTTATTTATACTAGCTTTTAATTTGTGCTATTATATATTTCGACGCTTAAAATTCGAAATTATTTGTTTTTAACAAGATGTATAATGTTGTGTTGTGTTAATGAATATGGATTAAATTATTTGTCACTGAGAGGATTGTTTCATTAATATTTCTTTATACACGAATAATTGAGACCTATCTAATGTTTTTTGTACAAGGCAGTACCAGAATAGAGAAGAAGGTAAGAAGAGTAAGAAGAAGAGAAGGATTTATTTTAGTTTTTATTGCACCAGTTGATAAAAATGCTCATAAAATAGTGTAGAACAAAATATAACCCAAAACCCCAAGTATTTACACAGTATCACCAATAATATTTCATCAGAATCCTCCAGTTACTTTAATTGTTGCTCCATTCATATAAGAACTTTTATCAGAAGCTAAAAATGCGATAACTTCGGCAATTTCTGGAAAATATAGAGACATTTAATATCTTAAAATGGCACAATTCAGATATTTATGTAAATTAGAAAACACTAGTCAGTTTTGGAAAGGGTCACTACTTATGTTCAAATTGAAAAAATAATTGTTATATTTATAATAATGAGAGTAAAATAGGTATACACCTAGCAAATCTGTATAAATTGATGAGGATGATTTTTTCCCCTATTTTTAGTGCTACCAATGTCAAATTTTCATCCTTATGTTGAAGATCTTGATGCAAATTCTTGGATTTTTTTCGGATTTTTGGATGAATTGAGAATATTTAATATTTTTTCCAATATTTTAATGAAGTGGCAGTGATGAATCTAGTAAAGTTCAATCTTTGAGTATTCACACTAGTGTAATAATATAATCAAGGGTTCAATTCAAGTTGACATGAAACGCCACCTACTGAGTAAGTAACAAGAATAATGTGGAAATATAAATATTTGTACAGTTTTCTGTGATTTCATTCATATTCCTTATATAGGAATCTGTAATCTATTTGTACAACGGCAACAGCAACCTGCACGGTAGTTTTTGGTAAAAAACCTACCTCCGATCTGAGTCACTAGATGGAGATGACAAAATTAACAAGGTTGGTAGAACTGATGATTAATCAGGTGATAATTGATATTCCCTAGAAATAGTAGAAATATAATTTGATTGGAGGGAACTGTGAGTTATCTAAGTAGATTTGTAATCGCGGGAATCAATGTCACCAGGTGGCGCTCGGTTTTCATCTTTCCATGTCAAAGCCACGTCAAAACTGGGGGAAAACAAACTCAATCCCATTAATGCCATTAGCTTGTGTACTGTGTACTGATAAGAGTGATAACACTTTATGTCGTTGACAAGTTTGACAACTACAGCTACAGCAAGATGCATGCAGTTTGTTTTCTAAAAAATCTCAAATGAAAGACATTTATTAGGGCCCATAAAGGAAAGCAAAGGAATGAGCCCTAAGATTTGGTCTAGAACTTTCAGATCATGAAACTTGAATCAGTTGATTTTTTACAAAAACCTACACTGTAAACATGTGAATAAGAACATACCTTCTGCATTCCCGAATCGTTTCATTGGTATTAACTCTTTAAACTTTTCCTGAACTTTAGGTGGAACAGCATCTATCATAGGTGTCCTAATCATTCCAGGAAGAATAACATTAACCCTTATTCCTAAGTTTCCTAATTCTTTGGATGCTGTTCTTGTCAGAAGCTCTACTCCAGCTTTGCTAGCAGAATAGTTTGTTTGACCTAAGTTGCCATAGTCTCCTACTATGCTACCTATATTGATTATGGAAGCATTGTTTATCCCATTTTGCACTATCGAATTGGTAAATATTTTAGTTACAAGAAAAGTACCCTGAAAAATAGTGAGAACTAGGTACTTCACTTCTTCTTTAAAGGTTCAGGAATTCAATATGAGCAATTCAACATACTTTTAAATTCACATTAATAACCTCATCAAAATCTTCTTCTGATAGTTTCAACAAGAAATTATCTCTTGTGATGCCAGCACAATTAACAATTATGCTAGGTGGCTTAGCATATTTTTCCAGGGTATTTTTCAGAGCATCTTCTACACTTGTTGCTTTTGCCACATCCATCTCTAAACCTAGATGATTCTGTGTTGTATCACTCTGTATACTTTGCAAAGTTTTCTGAACATTTTTGGAAGCTCTATCAGCTACTATAATGGAGGCTCCTTCTCTAGCTAGAATCCGACAGGTTGCTTGACCAATTCCTGATCCACCACCTGTAGAATAGAAAAAAATTGCACATAATAAAAAAGATGTAACCTGACTTTGGAACTAACCTGTAACAAGGGCTAACCTTCCAATCAAAGAAGACATTTCTTGATGGCGTTACTAATTTCTTATCTAGGTCTATCTGTGGTGCAAGTGTTTGTTATTGTTGCATTAACATCGCACATATTTTTGATAAACTGATTATAAATATTTATCTCAGTATTTTCTAACCTAACCAATGAAATTGAAATAAACAGAATTCTGTAACTGCGAGTGTAACTGTCTTATGACTTTGATGGTTTCAGAAGTTCTTGTGACCTCTCGAAAAAAATGGTTTCAGCCTCAGACGAATAAAAGAAAGTTTCAGCGATCTTCTAATAGATGGCGACATTACACCATTATGACCAAGGTTGGTAGATCATGACATCTGTCAATTTATATCTGGTTCCTTGAAATATTTCCATGCGCTTTGTATATGTATACTGCGAATATTCCTAGATCTCTCTGAGGATGTTCCATTTATTTATAGAATGTCCTGAGCATGTTCTGTCGAACATTATTCGTGGACACCTTGTGAGAACATTCTGAGAATATTCGAAATGTTCCAAGGCAATATTCTAAAGAACGTTCTCAGAATAACTTTTGGGCTGTCTGGGTCCATATCTTGGACACACTGTATACATTTAGGTACCTTGCTTCTATGAGATGTAATTTGAAAATGCACTTTATTATTTTAAGTACAATAAGTGTATTGATGATTATCAAAATACAGCCCCTATTTGACTTTAATAACAAATATTATATATGTTGCTTGACAATCACATATTATGTTTCTGATTCAGTCTCTGAATATCTGAAATATTAGGAAATGAAAAATAAATTAAAACCAAGCTCATTATTGATTTTGAGTTTATTTGTGTTGAGTAAAATACATTTTCCAACTTTTCATAATAGAATTTACACGAACATTCGTAAAAGTCACCATTTTTACAAGACCATTTATTTAATAAAACATAAAAGAAAAAAAAACTGTAAAAAACAAAAATGAACATTCAAACATTAATGGCTAAATATATTACATATTCTTTGGTAAAACTAGCCAATGTAAAAAAATACAATATATTAACAAAAAACCACACAACAATGAAATGCATAAGCTATGCACCAAAAAGTGACTAATCTGGTGTGATGAGAACAAATATAAAATAAAATAAAAAATAAACACATTAATAGTAAGTTCGAACTAGTTAAATTGTCGCTATGTAAGCGATCGATCGAAGTGTCTGAAAAGGAAGGAATTCAGACAAGAAGGAATATAATAAACATTCAGTATTTACAGAATATACCTATACACAGAAATTCGTAGAATATCTAAGCCATAATTAGAATTTATGTTATATAAATTGTATATATAATATAATTTTTTATATATTTCGAATTCTCACATATTTTGAGATAGAATAAATGCTACTTTCTCTCAATTAACATTAGAGCAGTACTAAATAAGTTTATATCAAATAGCTACGTTATTGTCAAAAACCTTACAATATACATAATATATTTTCTTGCACACTGGAAATCATATTTTAGGTACATAATTTGGAATGGTTCAAGTACTAGCGGCGATTTTCAAAAAGTCCCAGTACAATTTCAATTCAACATCATTAAAAAATCAGCAAAAATATTGTAAATGAAGAATCATTTCTTCACACACATGTATAGGCTCCATAAAAAAAATCATTTGAATTTGAAGATTTTTTAAATTGATTTTCAGAAAAAAAAGGATGTTTGCTGGTAAGTTATAATTATTATCGTTTATTTGATCTTTTTGATTCAAAAGGCGAGATCATGTTTCAAAATTAATGTTAAATCACACCAGTTTCATGGACCATGGAAAATCGCCATATTTATCAAAAAGTACTCTAAAATATCTCTTTAAAATATATTGGTAACATAATCACCGTGACCTCAAGGAACACAATTGAATCCTCGAAAAAAAAATTAATGAGTAATGTCTGCACCATTTCATTCATTGTATTGTTGAAAACTATGAGCTCTAAGTATTGTCATGTAACACCTCGGATCATTCGGCTTTTGGGGCCCTTATTGTACTGTTTATGAACTAAAGGCAGGTTAGCAATCATTTTCTTACAAGCTACGTTTCCTAAGTAATCGATGTCTCGAAACCAAAAGGGACATATTTTATGCTATACAGGTTTTTCGTCTTTGACTTATGGCACTTTGAATAAAGCGAATATTTTACATATCTACAAGTAATAATAAAAAAATAATATCTCAAATCTTCCAATCACAATAAACTCTCTCAATATATTTATCCTACTTGGTAACTATGGCATTTCGATTTTCATTAAATTGCACATAACGACTAAATTTTTTTTCCAAAAATTGCCTTGGTGCCCCATGCCTGCTACACCACTACGAAAAATCCAGTGGTGGAAGACTTTTTGATTTTCTGGCACTGTGAGACTGTATACGATGAGTATTTTCATACAGGTACCAGATAGTTTTATTTACAACTTATCGAGAACCATTTTGAACATAATGCAATGTTGAATGTGGCAGCGAAAATCTTTTAAAAATAGAAAAATAAAGCTCAATATATCCATCACAAAGTCAACCTTTCATTGAAAGTTTAAACTCTAGCTTTTAGACCACCAAATAATGTTTCAATTATGCTAGAGACCAACATCCCAATGAAACTGCATAATCTCTTTCAGAATTGTTTGATCAGGCATTGCACTTTCAATAATTTTAGGTCTAGATTCCAAATGTTATTATATTATGCTAGGCAAAGGAAAAATTGGTACCTAAATGTCATCTGAAGCTAAATTTAATGTTTACCGCTTTCTATGCTGCTTTTATAATTATTTGAAATTCAAAGGAAATTAGCAAATCAGCAAAGCCACACAACAAAACTTATGAACTCTGCCGATATATCACATAGCCTAACGAAATATAAAAACATTTGCAATATAGTCATCCCACTAACCAATGTTGAAAGCTATGTTGATGCAAGGTTATAGCAATTACTGAAACAGACGTTTAGCAATATTGCAAAGATGAAGTTTGATAATGTAACGTAACATTTACAAATTTACATTTGCAATATTGCTGAACGTCCGTTGCATCAACAAAGCTCCCAAATATGCTTAGTGAGATAAAGTTACATTTTCCGAATACACTTATAAATTAAATATCCAATCTATACAAGCCAATTTTTGAGGTTGGTTTCCCAACCGACCTTCGCACTTCCATCCAAGTGTCGCTCGGTTCATTCCCTGTACGGTTTACAGTACGAGTATCTGTGGTTCATGTGCTGGCTGTAGGACCCCGAATGCGAAAACCTTTTCAAGCACTTGCTGCACTGGAAAGGTTTCTCCCCGCTGTGCAATCTCTTGTGCTCGGTCAGGTGGTGCTTGTGCTTGAAAGCTTTCGGACACTCGTTGCATTTGTGAGGACGTTGGCCTGAAAACAAAATAAACAATTGATATATTTTTTTCATCAAATTAACGCGAGATTCAGATAACTACTGAAGGAAATACAATTCGATCCAGTGGTCAAGGAGACATCAAAGCATTGAGATCCCCTAACAGCAACCAGAAGATGGTATGGAAATGCAGAAGTTGAACGGATTATTAGTTTGGTGGTTGAAAGAAAAAGTAGAAAAACTGACACAAAAAGGAACATCAACGTCAGTGATTTGATCAAGACCATTCTTTGGCTTAGGCTCGGAAGCACAGAGGTAGAATCAATGCAGACACACTGGCAAGGACTGCCAGGATTGGATCAAGTCAAAGATCTCTTCAGTACTTTCAACGGAGAAGGATATCTAAAATAGAAATTAACTTTCATTGTAATTCAGTCACTCGGGCTTTAAGTAAACTACTTTATATCGCCATGCCAAGCTTTTCTAAAATGTTTATTTTCTTCAAGGCTAGAAAACAATATGGGATATGAAATAGCTAAACAGTAGACTGATTTGAATGAAAGGGATCTCTCACGGGGCACTGTAGAGCTAAGAAACATCTCAGGGAACTGAGCTTGGAGAAAGGAGAACAGTAGTTGTAGACTATGAGAGGAAGGATCTGAAACACTAGACAACATTCTATCATAGTGCGATGCTGTACATCACAATGATTGAAATATCTGTGATCGCACCAGCTAGAAGTATTCCCTCAATATCTTCAGATTTCTCAGACAACTTGAGTTGCTAATAACAAGAATCTTTAAGCAAGTACTAAACACCAAGAGTCATTTTTTGTCATTTTTGCTAGTGCAATCTGCCGCCAAAGTATTTAGTAAGTATGCAGTGTCTTTCATGAAGTTGACGTCGTATGTCGATAATTAATGATTGAAAGTTATTCCCATGATAAAGCTACTGGAATGAAAAAGTTTTGTCGGTGTCGGTGAATTTTTTTTACATTACAGACATTTCTTAGGAACTAAAAAGATATCGAAAACTATTTTGAAATCCGAACAAATGAGCCTATTTTCAGAGATTAATTTGAAAAAAATGTAACTTCTGACATGAAGCAAGTCACGTGACTTCGACCAAGTAGTCATTTTTCATTTTTTCCAAAGCAAAACTCAACACCAATGTCGAACTTTCGAAATAAATCATCATTAAAAGTTATTCCCTTATGATGCCGACCTAATGAAAGACACTGTATGATATAAGTACTAAAATTATTACCTGAGTGTTCGTATTTGTGCCTGGCCAACGAGCTCTGCTTGGAGAAAGCCTTGTCGCACTGGTCGCAAATAAACTGACCCTCCACCTCGTTATCCTGACCCAGCCCTGGACTGCTCAGACTCTTGAGCACGAACTGCGACATCTTGATCCGCTTCCCCGCACTCAGGTCCTCCTCGGTCAGCTCGCCAGGCAAGTCCCTCTCGCTCCAAGACCTCTTGTCCCCGTTGGGGCTCAGGCTGGACATCCTGCTGCTGAAGAAGTGCGACAGGCTGGGCAGGTCCGCGGCCCCGAACTGCATCAGCTGGTCCATGGGCACCAGCCCCATGCCTGGCAGCGACAGCTTGTGCGGAGGCTGCGCCAGGATCTGCGCCAGCCTGCTGCTGTTGAAGTCCAGCGGCGAAGGCGACCTCCTGGCCTCCGAGGAGTTCGAGTTGTGGTACGGGTGATAGGGAGTAGGGCTTCTGGAGGTCTTTCTGCTGAGGTTCACCACCTCCTCGTTAGCTTCCGAGGGTTGGGCTTCGCTGCGTGGAGAACTAGCAGGGGAAGATTCGTTTGAGGCTAGTTCTCGCTTGAAGGAAAGATCGAGGGGTTGCTCCGAGGGTTGCTCGTTGTAATGGCTGGGGCTAGGTGGTAGCTTCGTGGGTGGAGGATAGCGTGATAAAGAGGCAGGGCTGTAAGGCACCTGGATGAGCTTGCCTTCCCGCCTGTCTCTGGCTCTGGTGTTCTGGAACCACACTTGCACTACCCTAACTGGGAATCCTATGGTGGCTGCGATCTTCTCCAGGTCTTCTCTTTTGGGTCTGGGGTTCAGCTTGTAGTTGTCTTTCAAGACTTTGAGCTGTTCGTCGGAGATGAGGGAACGAACTCGGACTTTTCTGCCGTCTTCTGACATGTGATCGGTGGTGGCGAACGATTCAGAGTCCATCTCGTCGTTGGTGCTGTAGTGCATCCTTTCGTAGTCCTGGTCGTCTCCACTTATGCTACCGTTTTGAGCATCGTCGGATTTGGCAGTTAGAGCGTCTTCCAGCTTGGCTGCTAGGCCTTCGCTTCGCAGGTCTTCGCACTCGTGGTCTTCTAAAGATTCGAAGGTTTTTCTGCAGGCTGTACAGGTCAGGGGCTGTTTGGGGGAGTGAGCTGAGGCTACGCTGTGGCATTCGCTGGAATTCTCAGAATTGATCTTCTGCATATTGGCTTGCAGCAGTTCTTTGGTGACCGTGGCATTCACGGTTTCTAATATTCTCTTGACAGCCTCTAGATCACCTGTGCTGGTGTGAGAGCTAGTATCGTTCTTATCTTCGTTGTCTTGTTCTGCGTCTTCGTCCATGACTAGGTCACCGCACTCTGAGGAGTTCGAGTGCGGCTGTTCGTTGTTCTCCGACTTGATGAAAGTATTTCCATCCCTGTGAGGGCTTTCCATGAGCGGAGGCCTCAAAGGGCTCTGCTGCTGGTGATGCTGTAGCTGCTCCAATATGTGACCGAGGGAAGGCATGGAGTAGGGGCTAATAGGGTGTGAGGCGTTGAGCATACTGGGTGGTGCCAAGTAGAAGGGCGGCAGCGTCTGGCTACCTGCCAGAGAGGATTGCAGAAAAGCTGCTGCAGCTTCGGGGAACTTGGGAAGGATGGGCAAGTAAGAGTTGTGGTTTGGGCTGGTGCTGATGTTGTTGTTCATCGGGCTGATGTTGGGGCGTTTGGGCGCCCGCGAGTTCTGCTGTGGGAGGGACTTGTCCAGCAAGGGATTGGAGGTGGGCGGCCTGGTGCGGCCCAGTTTGAGATTCATTACCAGGCATTTTTTCGAGGTCATGTGACTAGAATAGGAACCCGAGTGAGAGAAGCGCTTGCCACAGTTGGTGCACTCGAAGGGTTTTTCGCCGCTGTGGATTCTAATGTGCTCCTGGAAACCAAAGGAAAACGTTTTTGAATATTTACCGGTACAGTGTTGCCAATTATGAGAATAAATAATCAGATGCCCTACATGTGAATACGAGAAATTGATTTACCTTCAAGTGATGTTTGAATTTGAATGCCTTGTCGCATTCGGTGCATTTGAATTTCCTCAGAATTGCACTCTCGTCATGACTGATCATGTGCCTTTGAAGACGGTATACGTTGGCGAAAGTCTTGTTGCAAATTTTGCAGCACTGAAAAAAAAAACAAATGATGAAAATTACTGATATTACGACGAAGTGTCTTCAGGTTTGTAGTTCAGATTGCGATAGATTCGTATGGACAATTTCCTTATATTTTGAGTATAATAACCGGAGGAGAACACAGAGCGAGACGTTTTTGATGGTTAAGACTGACCCGTTTCTGCCTGTACGACGACAAAAACGTGTATCTCTATAATCCTTGAAACAGGTGGACAGCACAGTGATATGATACGTGAAACAAATCCCCAGGTTTTGCTCGCCCTTCGTTTAAAGGTGTCGCATTATAGGCTTAACTGTCTGAAAAGCGTGTTATATAAAGCAAAATAATTAAAGTGACGTCAGAACGATTCGGAACTGTTTGGCAATATAAGCTGATGGGTTATTCGAACCACATGAGGATCAATCCCTGTTTCTCAGTGTCGAATACAAGTGTCGTGACGTCACGTTCACTTCAGATTCCCAGTACTTTGAAGATATCGCATACTCATAGCATTTAAAGTGTCAAGTGTCACTGGTCGTTCTTAACACTCTTAATTGCGTGAACTTTTAACTATCCTAGCTCGATCAGCGCTTGACTCGTATTAATGTAGAGGTTATGGAAGGGGGGGCAGGTCAATTGTTGTGTTTACGTAACATTTTAACTTTACCGTTTTGATATGCGTAATTGGTTCGTCCCTCACTTGCTAGTCTCGCAGCTGTGTCAAAAATTGCCCCTCATTAATGTGGCAGGACTTTTTCCGATTAACCTCATCGCAACCTATCAATTAGAGATGGAATATAATTGAACGTTGAGACGCCAGGCTATCGTGTATGTGCGTGAGAGAGAGGGGGGGGGGAATAATGGAATTTTTCTCAGGCTCTGGAGATCACTAGGTGACTCATATACGTGTCTTGATACTTTGTAGATGGAAATAATTGAGCGGTCTTGTTAATATTTCGCTTTGGGAGTCAAATCAATTTGCTGGGTTTCACGCTTTGGACTGACTAAGTAAAACACGAAAAAAATATTATACATTCCTTATTAAAGACATGCTAATATTAGAGGGGGTTATTCTTTTACTCATTTTAGGAAGAAAACTTTATATGAACGTATGTTATAAAAGTCTTAACTTTTGAGATACAGGGTGATGAAGTTTTCAAAAATATTCAGTTTCTTGATAACAACTGAGACAATATTGTATACATCTCCATGAAATTTGGTACACGTCTTTTATGCATCAAGTTACATTTTATGATGTACACAAATTCCGATTTTCTCTACCAGTGGCATCGTTACGGGAATTTTATTGTTTATATTTTAGTTAAAAGTGAGCAACGACCGAACATTTTCAAATTTCGTACAATACTATGAAATGCTATTCAACTATGTACAAGAAGAGATCTTCTTGTTGATACTCGATAGAACGCTTCGTTTCAGAAAAAAAAACGGAAAAACGAGACCAGACTTCCATTACTGGATAAACATAGTATGTCACATTTTGAAATTTTCATACCGATTCAGTCACATAGCAGACTGAATTTTGCCATCACGAAAATATACAGAGTGGACAAAAGAAGAATCTATGCATATTTTCGACATTGACAGCCTGTATCTCAAAAGTTAGAGCGTTTACGAGATACGTTCATATGCAGTCCAATTCTCGAAATGGGTCGAACAATCGGCCCCTTGAATATTAGAATATCATTAAGGGACACCCTGTATAGACAAAATGTTAGTTAGTTATAATGAATCATCTTTCGAAATTCGTACATTTACTAATAAACACTCGGTATAAATCATGTCACCAGTTAGTGAACGGTTTTTGGCTCAGTGAACACATCAATGCAAGTTGTAATTCCAAAGGGTTCATAATTGAATGTCAATATATTGAAGTGGTTTATTTTATGCATGATTTCAAGACAATATGTTCAGAAAATATTCCGAGAGTCCGAAGAAAATACATATTTACGAGACGAGTATTCATATCATTTATAGAAGGTGAAATTGTGACACATTTTTTGTCGAATAAACGATAACCTTTGACGCTGGTTCTTATTTCCCTCGTGTGAATTAGTCTTATCACGCACTGATATAAGTACCTAGGTCTCGTGGGTCAAAAAATATTTTCGGAAATACCTACGCAGCATTAGGGATCATTTACATAATAGAAGCGATTAGAAATGTTTGTTTATCTGAGTATATTTCCTTTTCACGGTTTTGAATACATTGGAACAATAAACCTCTTAATAACATCATAACAGTGAAGCGGAAATAGTTATTTATGTACCAAGGACGGAAAACTGTCTAATATGTCTAATCAGGTGAGACAATAGACAGTTTTTCACCGTGGTGCATATTAAATTTTTTTCTCGACCTCAAACACTACAAACACAATACATTATCAAAAAACGAATATTGGGTTACTCAAAAGTCAGAATTATTGACGGGAACTTTTGAAAATATCCAAAAAGAACATTCACATAAAAGCCAAAAATGTGTTTTTTCTGTGACGGAAAAAATGATTGGCATTTCATTTCTGTTGGCAGGTTATGAAATGTCACTTTTCATAATTTACTTTTTTCCCGTGGGAAAAAAGTGAGTACTTTTTTCCCAGATATATATCACATATATATCCGAAAAATGAGTCAATAATACCGTCTCCGAGAAAGAACTGCAAGTCCTTTTATCTTCCATTCGACTTCGCGATTACGTCTATTACTAAACAACCACTAAATTCGCAATTTGTTGTGATCAAATCACAGAATTAGACTGACAGAAGTGACATCAGATATTTGATTACTTCAAATAAATGATAAAGATGCCTACAACGCAGGTGTCCCTACTGTTAAAAACTTAAAATTTCACGTCGATAATTTTCAGATTTCAAAATAATGTAATATCTTCTCAATATTGATTAGTCCTTTCTTCTGTCACAGAAAAAAATAGTGTATTATACACGGGAAAATCATCAGATTTTAGGTCACGCCCTGATGGAGCTGAAATCTACCACTTTTTTCCTTGTATGATAAATAACTATTGATAAGCCGTAGCTCTGGTAATTTATTCAATATGCTGTGAATATGCTGTTATTTCAGACTATTTCACGCATCAGCGTGGTGATTTCAACGATGTAACCATGGAAAGCGGAACAAAGTCTGTCAGTTTGGCATGAAATTATCATAGCTGTAGTTGTCAGAATGAATCGTTCATTTATAATAAATGCTTTTTATGAAATACTCTAGCAAAATACCACCCTGTTCTGAATAACTTCTCATAATGAACTCTGTGTAACACACTTTCGTGAAAAACGAAAATTATCTGGAATATTCAGAACATCATGATGTATGCATTCGTCATAATAATATGTAATACCGTTGCGCGAATGACATAGTTTCTATATCTATAAAGACAACTTTTTTGAAAAATGAAATCCAACGTGTTTTTTTCAATAAATGGGGGACATGAACGGGTTTGAAAGAATGGTGAAAGTTCTAACACCAATTTTGGTGGATAGGTGACTCCACCAAATATTCGCATTCGGAAAAAGGAAGATTTTGTATCCTTTCAAGGACTCACATACTGCTTGTCCTGGTGGAATCTCAGTAACTCGTCCAAGAAAACAGTATTTCCTGGACTTGTTACTTTAATCACTAGAATTCGTTGGAATCCTACACGGACGAATACGCAAAGTAAGTGGAGTATAAGAAATTGATAAACCCAGATCTATTTTTATTTCCTCCGCATTTCATATCTCGGAATTAGAGCTCTAATTATTGCACCCGACGGAACGGTCGAAAAGATATCTGACTCCGACAGGCGGTGTTTCAGATAGAGGAAAAAAAAAAGATGCCACATGTGTGAAATACGGAGCGTGTGAAAGAGTTCACTTTACGTGACGTCGTAATGGACCATCGCATTACCGGGAATGTTATGCGTTCTCTCTGTTTTTTGTCCATCGCTGGCGCTTTGTTATTCCTTGTTCTTTCTCTCTCTCGCGCGACAAAGTTCAATAACTCGTATTTTCATCAAGTAGGAATTACTATCATCAGTTATTCAGTGGCGTAATGAGGAAATTCCATTCAGAAAATTTAATTTTTATTACCCTTCTTTGAAATCAACTTGTTTTCATCTAAACTAGGCAACAATAATTTCGTCGCACCCCAAAATTTTGCCTCTGTTGAAATATGAATAACTTTTTTCTGCTTTGAACGCTTTTAATTTGTTCGCTATAGCCATAATCTAGTGATTCTTTGAAACATAAGGTTCTTCACATAAAATCGCTACAGGGTGTTACCTGAAACTGTGCAAAATTTCGGAAATTTCAAAAATATCCCAAATGAAGAAAAACTTTTTTTTAACTTTGACAGTAGAGGCATGTAGATGATGTCATTATCTTGGGACAGCTCTCGAATTGTCTCCTTATCTCTTTTATCCACAGAGTGATCTCAAAAAATTAACATTTTGGTTTTGCAGTCATACATTTTTCCTCGTCAACCGATTTTGGAAATCTCAGGCTTATTTTGAAGCCTACTGTTCAGATGAAGAGATATGAAGATCAGAATTGACTCAAGATGAAAATTATACAGTGTGTCTCACTTCTCATGGAAGCACCTCTGTGTCTTTCGTAATTGTTGAGTTGCTATTCTGAAATTTGCAAGAGCGGTAGATATACTCAAAATACACACTATGACCAAGTGGTGTCGTCTCCAGTGATATACACTGCTCTCCAACAGCCATGGAACCACCCAAATTTCCGGAAAATGTTATTAGGAATCAAGATAGGTTGGAGTTTATATTAGTAATATTAGCGATGTTCTTTCAATCTGAAACAACTGAATCATAGATGCCAAACACTGTATTGTCAGCATTGTTTATTCTCTGTCAATTGAATTTATGCCGACAAAATGAACTCTGAAGAAAATCCCGAAATTCCCAATAATATATCTTAGAGCAAGCAACACAAGAGACCGCGACCAGTAAAATCCAGGTCTAGTATAGCCAAAAATATTAAACGTAAGAAACAATCTGTTATAACATAGCAGAGGTATATAACAAATTGAGATTTAATCTGAATCAGATGAATATTGTCCTTTTTCGATTGATACATATCATTAATACCATTAATACTTATTTTGTATAATTAAACATAGCGTGCCGAAATATCATGCAATTTATAAGTGTACGGGATTAACTAAAATTATAATGATGCATAAGTGTCAAAATATATGCAATCAGGAGATTTACTGAAAATTCTGGAACTGAAGAACTGGCAACCCTGCAGCGGACGAAAAGTGTTTGGAGACGAAAAGTAAGTGTCTGCGAACGAAAAATTTGCCTTCGAAAAAAGTTATTTTCGAGGTTATTTCCTAATAACAAATCAAGTATTCATCAGTATCGCGATATCGTATTTTATTACGTCCATGAATGTGACCCATTTTGTTTACAATTTTGTATACATACGCTACTGAACATGATTGAAGTAAAGCTTCTTGATTGAGACATGGCGCTACTTGAAACCAGAAGAGTGATTTAATGGATTTAGCAAACAAACTGTTAGTCAGCGAATGAATTAATGTTTTTATAACCTTCTTGAACGCTCTCGCACTTGTTTCAATGGCGGTTCGTAAGGTTTTCAGAAGAGGCATCATATATTATAAGGTAGGGGAAAAATCATCCTTCTTTAGGTATATAAGTTTAAATTAAATGGCTTTTTTGTACATTTTGACACATTCCTCTCAAATTTTCTAAATTTCTGAAGATGAAGCAGAAAAATTGAAAAATTCTAAAACTGATGCATATTTTCCCCGAATTATACTTTTTCTGACCCACAACCACGTGCTTCTGCAGAATCTGAAGCCATTTTGACTCTAATTCTCATAGTTCTCCTGGAAATGCATGATTTCTAATTTCTTGGGTCTTTCAATAAAGCAAAAACTCGAAAAATTTATAGACGGCATATTTTCCCCGAAATATACTTTCCCTAACTCAAAATGATGTGCTGTTGCAGAAGCTGAAGCCATTTTCATTCTAGTCCTGACGGTTCTCCTATGGAAATGCATGATTTCTGATTTCTCGGGTCGTTCAATGGAGCAAAAAAATCGAATAATTCTAAATCGGAATATTTTTCCCGAATTGAGCTATGTTTTCATCTATCCAAAATATTCAGTTGTACGAAATTTGAGAAAAATGTAATCTTTTCGTACGAATGATGATTTCAGCAGTTTTCATTTTTACTAAATGTTTATACGGAATAGAACGTCCAGAATGAGAATGCTACAATGGTAATTGCCATATGATTTGCGTATAGAATTCAAAGGAGGCCTCACCCAAACTCGCTTCAGTGCCTTTTTTTAAAATTAATACTCAATTAACAATACCAGTTAGTCAATGAAAGCAATATTATAATTTTCGACATTCTCCTAAAAACAACAGACCATTTTTCATCCCGAAATTTCGGACAAGTTAAGTTAATTTCAACTTCTAAAATCTATTCGTACAAGGAGTTTTTGACAGATTTCGTACGAAAACTGAATATTTCGGATACATGAAAACTTAGCTTTATACTTTCTCTGACCCAAAATGATGTGCTGTTACTGCTGTTGCAGAATCTGAAGACACTTTTTTCCTAAAATATAACATAGAATCAACTGAATTTTTTGAGTACTTATTCATATATGTACACTCGCCCATGAATATGAAGTTAAATCAAATGAATAACAGATCCAAACATTCATTTTTATTGATAAAAACACAAAAATTCATTCGACTTGTACAATACCTTACAATACTCCTTTCAGTACCTTGAGACGTAACCCGAGATATTTTAAATTCCTCCGAAAACCCGATGTGAGATACGTCACTGTTGAAATTTTCAACAAATAATAAAAATATATCTCACGTAATGACGTAACTCCTATAGTTAGATCACTTCGTGAGATTTGGTAGTTCAATAATTTAAGATAGGCTGAGTATTCGATATAACAGACGAAAACCATTGAATATTGAGTTACGCCACTTTGTGCGATCATAGAGTACAAGAATATGAGTCACTTGACGGAGTATCTCAAATTCCGATTTTTATGAGATACGTCATTACGTGAGATGACCCACGATATGTTACGAACTTTTCTTCTTATTTTGACGTCAGCAACATGCATATAGGTATACCCCCGGGTTTGAACCATATGAATACCTATACCTAGAGTATCGAAAAATCGTTGACGAGTCGCCACTGCTTTGCTTATGGGATAGGTTGATTGGTACAGTGTGCGGAGCGAAAACAACACCTTTCATGGTAAAATTAAAAAAGGTATTAGCGTGTGTTTTGATAACCGACGATTCTGGGAATTGTGACGTCAGTTTATCTATACATACATATCTACTGACAGCGACACAGTCGAGTGTTTTGTTTCAAAACCAGATAATTTGCCGAAGGTTAGAGGCTGCAATCTGTGTTGACCGTTACACAAACAGGGTGACTCATTTACATAAGTTATTAACGATAATTACACCGAACATCGGTCAATGTTCATTTTACTGAGATATCTACGATTCGAGGAGATATCTCATTTCCGTAGGTAATGTTATTGAAATACGAAGATAATCAAAATTCGAAATAACTAATAGGTATTATAAAATTCCCATTTCACCAAGATAGTTTTGGAAATTATGATTTTTTCTTGATCAAGTTATCAGTATTCATTGAAAATTTTGATGCATTTGCACGATTGAAATTGAACTCTGCCATTTGAGGAATACCTATATCTGTATAATGACTTGTACTCTTATGCTAACTCAATAAAAACATTTATTATTATCATCATCATCATCATCATTTATGGTCATTTTGTTATCATTTTCTTATAATTTCTTCCTCATTTCCTATGAAATTTGGATGAACTCAGGTTGAATATCAGGAATCACCTACTATACTACTAATTTTTGTTTATTTTCACTCAAAACACGATATTAGATTACATGAAGGTCTAACAGATCTCCACTTGTATTCTTCGATTTGTCCAAGTGCAAAAAATAATGTTATATAAGAAAAACTATTTTTTTTTATATTTCCTTCAAAGAGTCATATCCGAGGTCATATCACTGTAGGTATTTAGAACCAATCCTATTTTTCTCAAAAACGTTGGCAAATTAGCATAATATCAACGGAAATGAATAATTATCGATTGGGCGTCTGTCAAATCACTTCCATAACCTCATAGATTTTTTCATCATTCACCTGTTTTATTTATGATGTTGTTTGCTTGCTTCTTATGAAAGAAATCGTTTGCTAACCTTGTATATATACTTTAATATTTATTTCCTATGTCGTTTTCTTACTATTCCCAAGACAATATTGAAAAAATGAGAAAGGAGAACAGGATTTCCGTCCAAATTTTTGAAAATGAACAGGAATATTCAAAAACTATGCATAGTATAATATATGGAAATCTTTCTTCTTTCGGTTTCTTAGAAAATTTGAGTACTTATATTGGTGAAATGGTGAAATTCTCTGTATCTTCAAATTCAGAAAAATGTATGCCATAATTATGCCGATTGAGTATATACAGAGGGAAATCATAGTAGAGTAGAAAATTAAGATATAATAGACAGAAAAATGTGGAGATAAAAAGGAAGAGACATTTCCATCCCGAAAAACTTTTCTTCTTGCTCATAAATTCATTATGACGTAATCTATGAAAGATATAAATGTGATATTAAACTTGATTTCTTTACTTTTTCAGTTTATTTTATCACTGAAATTGGCGTTTCGCATGAAATCTTGAATGCTATAATCGGTTGAGATATATGTATACGAAATATCATTTTCAATAAATATATATACGATGAGAAATTCGAACATCAGACATCCTGTATTAATTTAAATAAATGTAAATGAAATTACCGGTTCGTCGACCTCTGAAAGATTACCAGCTATCAACTTTTTGAATACAATCATTTTCATTTTTTCATTATTCTTCATAATTTTCAATGATGTAAATCGCTGTGAAAGTTTGCTATACAGGTTGTAAGTAAATAGTTTCTTTATATGAAAGATCCTATATTTTTTTCGATGAGGAATCACCCCTTTAAATATTTTACACTTCTTTAGTTACACCCTGTATATACTGCTGTCATTTTTGAAAATTCTTGGATATTGAATTTATCGAAAACTACTTGGGATTCAACTTTTTGGTGGATTTTCCTTGCCTAATTATTGAATTCTGGTACGCGAAATCTCAACAGCGGAATACTTCTCATAGTTTTCATCATTATATTCGTTTCAATTCCTGATTTTCCTCTATTTCTCAATCGTTTCTGTCGTCCACGAACAGCATTCACAAACAAAAAGTAAAAAAAAAAATAATGCTTACAAAACTCACCACTTGTGCATGTGGTGAATGCATCAGCTCGTGCTTCTCCAACTGGTCTTTGCATTGGAACGAAGCCGAGCATTGCGCACACCCGAACGCCCCGCCTTGCCCGGCCGGGGGCGCCGGTGAATTGGGCCCAGGTCCGGACAGCGAGGCGTCCGACCCTCGGTCCGAGGAAGCGACGGAAGGGTCCTGATGCGCCGAGTCCATGTGCTCCTTGAGGGCTTGGAAGGTCTGACAGCCCTTCTGGCAATGCGGGCATTTTATGAAGTATTCGGGGGTCGGTGTTGGGGCTAGGTCCTCCTCTTTGATGACGCCATTAAGAAGAGACGAGGCTGAAACAAAAATTGAATTGAAAATGGAGGTTGTTTCGGAATCAATAACGGTCATTTGATGTAATTCAAAGTCATGGAACATCTTTGGGAGTTCACTGTAATCCATTAATACTTCTTTGAAAGTTGTTAGAATCCTTTGAAAGTTTCTAGAATCCTTTGGGGAAGTCATTAGAATTGTTTAAGAGTCATTGAAATTCTTAGGAAGTCTTGTGAACCTAAAGAAAATTTCCGAAAGTCTCTGGTAGCCATCTGGAATCTTTCAAATCTTTGACAGTTATTGTCATTCTTTTGATGTCACTAAAAATTATGGAAAATTATTGGAATTCATATAAAAATTATGTTTGTCATGAATGTAATCCATTGGAAGTCTTTTTAATTCTTTAGAAGTCATGGATAGTCATTAATGGAAGTCGTCCATGTGCTCTGGCAGCCCTTCTGACACCACGGGTATTTTATGAAGTATTCAGAGGTGTGTGTTGGGGCTAGGTTCTTCTTTTTGATGACGCCATCAAGAAAAGATGATGCTGAAATGAAAATTGAATAAAAAATATATATAACATTTTTGGGACGTCACTGTAATCAATCCATAGGTGTCCTTTGAAAGGTTTTAGAATAATTTTAAAGTCATTGGGATTCTTGAGAAGTTTTTGGACTTCAATGTGATTCATTGGAAGACGTATGAATTTTTGTTGAGCTATTAAGTCTCTGGATGCCTTGTATGTAATCCTATGGGAGTCTTTAGTAGTCATCTGATGTCACCTGATGTCCTGCAAATCTTTGAAAGCCTTTTCAATTCTTCAGAAGTCATGGATAGTTAGCATTGGAAGCCGGCTGAACTTTTTTGGAATCATTGGCAGTCATTGTCATGCTTGGAAGATATTGAAATTCGTTGAAAGTGTTCAGAAGTCATTCAAACTTTCTCAACAATATTATTGAATTATCGGAAACACTTTGGACGTCAGTGAAAACCATTAATGTTATTTGGAAGCCTGTGGAAATTATTTTAAGAATTCGAAATTCATTGGAATTCTTTTGATGTCATCGAAGCCTTCGAAAGTCTTTGGACGTGATCAATGTGATCCATCGAATTTTATTATTGAGTTATTATTGAGAAAATATCATTTTAAAGATTTCTGAAATCATGTTATCAGTTGAAGTTGTTTAATGCTCTTTGGAATTCATTGGAAGTCATTGAAAGTTAATAGGTCATTTTGGGAGTAATTATATCAGGGAGTCATTCTAGGGTAAGTAAAAAAAATTAAGAGATATTTCAATAATGGAATATAAGGTATATTGACATGCCCAATTGTTTGGACTTGATTCAGGTGACGTGGCAGGAACGTGACTTTTTTCGAATATAATATCTCCGTCCGGCCTCGGTTTACGTTAATGTCTGTTCATTACCTGTCTAGAAAACCTTGGACTGTTGAGTCCTTTGTTTATGTTTATAGAAAAAAAGCCACGAGGAGCTTTATCAAAGGGAAACGGACTGAGTCACAGCCTAGCCAATCTCCCACCTTTACACCACATTCTATCACAATAGATAATGTGTCTTTTTTATTTGGACATGATCCAATTTCATCGGCTTTGTTCCGAATAGTGCAAAAAGTGAACTTTGCCTTGCAATCAAAGAAATATGTATATGAAATTCTACTTCTAAAATGTGTTCTAGCGCTCCAGACTAGGATAATTAATAGTTTGCTGGATGAATTATTATCGCGGTCTCATCCAGTTCAGACGATGTTACTATATGAACTCTTTTAGATCTATTTTTGTGCCCGAAATAGTTCGTTTGTGTTCTTCATGGAACGGAAAATTATTTCTCTCCAAATTTTGAATTACAAAAACATAGTTACCACGAGCGTGTCGAATTTTGGCATGTAAATTAACTACGGGTTTTAGTTTGAGAAGAATGATCCTTCAAACATTGATCGTGACTGTCTGAGTTACTCTATGAAATTTTCATAGTAGAAGAGAAGTTCCAATACCTACTATTCAGAAATTCCGGAATCACTTTAGGGTTTTCAAAAAATGGTGGAGGTGCATAGTTTTGGCGTGCATGGTGCGTCTCGTGTGGTGTGTATACACCAAATTTTCGCATTTGGAAATGGTATACGCTCTTATAGGTCTTCCAAAATATGATAGACACATGTATATTTTTATAACGAAATATAGTTTCGAGATGTAGGAATATCGATGTTTCTTTGATCCCATTTTTTTTATGTTCTGGTTCCCACGAAAAGGGATATCCTGTAATGTTCAGAGAACATAGTGAGAACCAAGGGAAATAAGGTAGGAATTGGTGTTCTTCTTGAATTTCTGGAGGTTATATGCCTCGGGGAACACCTCCCTTGGCACAATGTGTTCCAGAGCCTCGCTGTTGGATGAACGAGTCTTTGGAAAGAGATGTTCTGCAGGTCTCCAAAGTGACCACGAAGGGATGCAAAGCCTCAACTCGACGGGTTAATCTCAACAAGGGAGGAACAATTGTTGATATTCCAGAAGAGCATCGTCCATGAAAATATCTATAACAGAATGAAAATTGTGACATACCTACTGATATTGTCGGAGACGGTTGACAACTGAATAGTTTTTTCAAATTTTTAATACTTATATGGGAGAGGAAATTCGAATTTTGATATCTTCTGGTTTAGAAATACTGTAAGAAATATACTTCTACCTCCCCAGGGATGTATCAAATTATTTCTTTGTCTTTTCACCTTGTTTTTGAAGAGTCATATCTTGTTGAAAACTGTTTTTATCAAACAGGTTCCACAGGTTATTTCACCTAGTTTATTTTGTGTATTCCACACATTGTTTCCTTCAATTTAATCACATCCTAAAGGTAACCATACCCGACGGGAAGCAATTAACCGACGTTACGTTTATTAATAACATCCTGTGTAACAATTAAGACCTTAAAACACTTGATAAACTGTGAATTTCGCAGTTTTTGTAAGCGACAATGATAAAATAAAATATTCTAAAGAAAGCATTAATACGTATTCAAGTATACCTAGAGATAACAATATTATATACCTACGAATGCTTACGATGCATTTTCATTAAACAGCAAAGTCTTACCGAAGGAAAATATTTTCTTTTTCATTCCAACATTAAGCCAAATGGATAATTCCAACGAAAATTCTTTATATATATTTATTATAGTTTCTGCTCAGCCATTAAATGATAAAATAATAAAATCTCAATTATAGGTGCCATAAATTTTATTTCAACTACGTCTGTCCTCTATATCTCTGTTAAAATTAATTCAATGTAAACTGTAAATATATTATTTATATGTATCCACAATGTTGTATCCTCAAGTTTGCTTTGATCTTCGAATCCAGAATCATCAGTACGCATTCTACATTTTCTGAAATAAAAAAATGGCATCTAGACATGTACCTTGTCTATCCCTGCTGATTCGTTTGAAGATTTATACAGACGACCTGGTTTCGGAACCAATAAATTTCGATAGAATTTCTAAATCGAAATTGAATGTTGACATTAATGAATGAATTGATTTTTTTGCAACCGACTATTTTCATGGTTTCTACCAGTGCATGGTTCAGACACTTCAGATATCGGTAATGGAGCTAAGAAAATCCCACACCCTGGATATAAACAACATATCAAATTCTCTCATTTTTGACTCATCGTATGAGAATAATGGACTGGAAATTCCTAGTGTTCGGTACCTATATTTATTATATTAGGTTTACCTTTTCCGAGACTTTATTTCCTGTGTGTGTGGTCTGCATTCGAGATAAAAACGTTTTCAATTTCAAGTTATTCGTATAATTAGGTTAGATATTAATAGCCGAATGTGAAAATACCTTCGGATACGGGCACCTTCTACCTACCTTGACGTATAATTTATCATTTTTATTTTCGAATGGTGCCTGAAAATAATGAGTTCCTAATCGTGTTATGGATATCAAAAACGTGTGGGAGGCCGAAAAGCATATGCGAAACTACACGATCGATTGCTTCAGTCTGGATGAAAAATCAATTAATTAATTGATTCTACAATGTCGGATGACTGAGAAAACTTTGGTGTATTTCGGAGCTGAGCGGCATCAAGTTTTTTGAAAAACTAAGGCCTACTCAGATGCTGAAAAATCCAGAATCCTTATTAGCGATTACCTTAATTTTTCGAGGATAGGAAATGTTATTAATTAACGAGTTCATTTGATCAGATAAATAGATATTCCAGAGAGAAAAACTTCCATAAATTAAAATGATGAAGTGACGAATCTTGGTTTTTCAGTCGACTATTCGCTTTGAAGAAATTTGATAACAGAAACCATTGCCCACAAAATTTCGCTGGGAGGTCAAAAATCTACATCGATTTATCACGTATAAATATGTGTCTTGTATAGTTCCGTCCGGTTTCCTTTGATATCAAACGTTTGAAGTTTTTATAATATCCCTCAATTAAAGATAAATCAGTCTCTAAACGATCACAGAATGTAAAAGATCTAGCTAATATGAGACACTACTACACTACTTTTCAGAAATGCTTGTTCATTCTCTTTCAAGAGAATGATATATAAATGTATACACACATGAGATTTTTTTAGCTTTCATGCTCATAAATCTGGACATCAGGCAGTAATCATTGATGAGAGAACATCTATGATGACAATTCCAATATGTTTTAAAAATACTGCAAAATGGTTATCCGATACATATGAAGAGTTATTCTTGGTAAGCGATGAAAAACCAATCAAACGGCAGACACATTGAGGCAAAAAATGTCCAAATGTAGAAAACAAAATTTCCAATTTTCCAGATCTCATGATGGTATAGTGGAGATTTATTGGTCCAAAATCCTCAAATACCAATTATTCTCGTTCTATATTTTTACCCTTGAGAATATTTATTGCCTTATCTATATCATTTAAGTAGACGTATCTACTATGACCTTATATAATGCTGTGCCATATATGTATATTCTTCGTGACTTCATCAGTTTCTCTAGTTTAACTTCCTTCAGTTAATTCAGGACATGAGACATTGCACCAGTGGCAGTTAGACTTTTCCCAAAAACTGCGCTTAGAAAAGAAGGAAATAAGGTAAAAAGAAGAGAAAATCAGCTATAGCTGATACCCCTGAGAAGGAAGAAATTAGGGTAAAATATGAGAAGAAGAAAAAGATGATTGATATTTCTGACCCTAAACCAATAACAAAAAAATCCTCCCAAGGTGAATGAACCAAAGGAAGAAAGCAGCGACGAAGAAGACTACTTCTGCCTTGTTTGCATCGAATCATGCACTTTGAGTAAACCAGAGAAAGGTTGGGTGGAATATTAGATATCTATTACAGTTCTCCAGTAATTTGTGTTCGAAATGAAAATGTTACTTTCGACCCCAGTCTACCCTAACACAAGTTAATCTTTGGAAGAAGTCCATGGTTACTCAAAGTGAAGTGGTGTATAGTTCAGAGATGACTTTGGGTTTTCATCTTATGACACAAGTTTTCCATAAAACCTGCAATCTTCTCTTCAGTCTAGCTTTCTGAGAAATCCATCCAGCTAGAAACGTGCCCTGTTGTTTTCTTACACGATTAATTTCAGATCTCACAGAAGGATTCAAGCTTTCGACTACCTCATCTACTATTTCATTCGACTCAGAAATTTCCTGGATACCATCTGGAACCATGGTGCATTGCAGGCTGATGTTTGGCCATAAGAAATGAAGATGATGTATTGTTCTTGATTGTTTTTCTTTGAATTGAACTAGATATAGTTTCCTCTAATTCAGTCTCATCTGCGGGTTCTCTATACCGCTTCATGATTCCTTCTTTAGTCCACTGTCGACTGATCTTCTGTTATATGATATCTGATGCTACTTTCTGAAGCATTCACCCGGCGTGTTGCATTTGCCAGCCAGATATTGTACATCGTCTCTATAATTGAAAAATCTCCATATTATGTATAAACCATCAGAGGACCAATGTTTAAGGGCTACATAGCTCGAGGGTTAGTCTAAGTATAATTTTGCGAGAACGATTTATTGAAATCTGTGTAGTAATTCACTGCTTATTTATCATTTCAATCTGAGGATCAGATTCGTATATCTACTGTATATACGTGATATAGTAGTAATTGCAAGAAGCATAATTAATTTCCTTTTGCCTCTATCGAAAGGAATATCCATTTCCATTATACATTCACTTCCACCATATCAAAAACTTGCGTGGCACCTGAATGAACCTTTTACCTGTTCTGCCAGGATAGGTGACGCGTGAGTCACGTGATAAACCCCAAAATCACTTCCACCATTTCAAAAATCTTAGGCGTGTCACCTGACTGAATCTTCTACCTGTTATGTCGTGACAGGTGATGCGTGAGTCACGTGACCATCCTCTAAACCTGTTTAACGCGCCGTAAGGAGAAGCGGAGCACAGGTAAACATTCGCTTGCCAATGAGGAAGTATGAGTTTAGGCGCCTCCCACTTTTCCACCTGCCCAATCCGATAAAAACAGGTGAAGGTGCACAGGTAGACGACCACCTGTGAAGTAAGGCGGCGATAAATCGACCAATCGAGTTAGTTAGGTCTATCGATGAATTGGGATTAGATTTATGACAAGGAAAAACACATAGGTACAAGAACTTATCACTGTAGATTTTTTACAATGAGATATAGGTATACACCTGCTTGAGAGGTAGATCAACCATTTTGATTTCAATCATCAGATGACGTACTACTTAGATATTTTTGGGCGAGTTTTTGGGTACCTACATATTCCGGAACTTCCGAGAACTTCATCAGTGAAAATGACATTTCGTATGGTTATCATCCATTCGCCAGTCAAAATTGCATAAGAAATGTCAATTTGGTGAGTACAAGAAGGGAGATACGAGGGATCTGAAATACTCCTATTGAATTTTAAGTAGGTAAAGGTATTACTTCATTGAATTTTATCGATTCTTGCTGTCAAGAAAGTTTATCTGTGTTATGTTGACTTGACTAGATCCACAAATTTCTAATTGTGACTAGGTATATATTTGACATACTGTTCGTGGTGGTGGCTGCACACACTTTTAATCCTACTGTTGCTATGATTGATTTTTATATCTTCCTGTCGTTCCACAGGAGAAACATGCAAATTGAAGCTAGGTAATAATTTCAAGTTTAGAGTGAGACTAAGCAACGATAATTCTTGTCATAAATTTGATAGGTACTTACGTCCTCCCTACAGATAATATTATGAAGTCATTAGAATAACGTTATAGTTTATTTTTTTGTGGATGGGAATCTTATAAAGTATTAGAAGTTGAAGAAGTTCTAATTTAGAAGAGGATTTCTTCAAGAATGTTTGAGAATAGAGAATTAGAAGTGCAACAGTGAGTGAGCAGGTAAATATTCAATTAACTGATTCGTAATATGTAATTGAAAGTTTGCTGTGAAGTGGCAGATTGAACTTCATCTCATCAATTCATGAAACAATAATAATTCGAACATGGAAACAATATTACATCACACGCACTAAAAAAAAAACACTCATCAAAAATACCTGGGAGCTTGTCCGCCCCTAAATCGACCGAGGCCATCATCGCAAATCAAACAAAACAAACATCGACCACGTGAAACAAAATCCGCGACACTGTCACAACAACAACAATCAAGTAAGCGCACATCAACAAGCTTCAGAGGCGAGAGACATTATCAAGGACCATCTTTACTCACGTTGGCAGGTGTTCCAAACATTGGCTAAACTCCACAGACGGTAGGAGTAACTGTCGTAACAACCAAACATGCTCTCGCTACGCGCCACCATGGCAAACTACGATCGAGACTCGAGAGCAACACGCGGTCCACCGATAGCGATGTCAACGACTATGTTTTGATGCGAGCATCTTTCTGCCATCCCTTCTCTTCCGTCTATCGCGCGGTCGCGTTACCCCCACCACGAGGCGCGCGCAAGTCGCGGCCTTCCGCGATTTCTACCTACGTTCACGTTCCCTTCTCTCCACGGTTTCTCTTGATCCCTTGCCGCGGATGCGTGCGTATGCTTAATGCTTGGTGGCAGGTTGGCGTTTGTTATTACGCATTACGCCTACTGGGATTGGTGAGCGTACTTTGCTTTAAAGTAGTTTGGATAGATTGGGCCCAAATTTGGATTCTCACACATTCCGTTGGACCCATATGAAGACCACAGGGGAACAAGAGGGAATGTCTCAATATAGTGGCAATTGACTCGACACCACCATCTCATAGCATAGCATAACCCTTATATTTTAGTATAAACAGAAGTCCATAGCGCAATAATGCAGCATAGTCAGCTAATATGCTCGTTCGAAAATACGTTCACATGGAAAAAAATGCGGAATGTCCACTTCAAAAATGGGAGGAAAGAGCTTGGTGCTTGCTTGAATACAGATTCCATTGTGATTTCAGGTTTTTTTCACACTGTCAAAAGATCAAATTGAACTCTCAGGCTAACTAAAGATGAGGAAAAAAAGAGATACGGCCACCTTTGTTTCATCTCTTGGAGCGTACGAAAAGCAATTCCTATAGTGTTCGGGGACTATCGTGGGTACCTAGGAAGGATAGGGAGAGGAGGTAGGTATTGGGATTTTTTCAACATCTGGAGATTTTAAGCTCTTGGGAACACTTTGTTTGGCAAAACATTCCAAAGCTTTGCCGTTACGACTTTTGGTGAAGTTTTAGTAAAGAGTTGTTCGACATATTTCGAGGTTGACGACAAAAAGGTGTGCTGACTGGGCTTGTCGAGTATGTCTGCGTGATGGGAATAAAATAATGAAATTGCTACATGATGATTCCTACTCATATCGCAAGGAATTTATAGAAAATGATCAAATTATTGAGATGCTAGTTGTACTATATATGACAACTTACCGCTCATTGGGTAGTCAGGCAAGAATGGGGAAATGTACCAGAGCGGATAATTGCGAATAAACAATCCAGTTTTTCGACAATTTATTTCGACATTCCCCATTTTTCCCTTGAATCTTTGAACTTATATTTTGTTTTCGATGATTAGGTATTTCATTCAAATATGATTTTTATTTCTAGTTGTTCAATTTTATTGCTCATTATACTACATCAAATGAATTCAGGTGATTTGATCTCAGTTTCCTCCAACTTCCAAAAAGTAAGGAGGTTTTAAACTTTGAAATGCGTTTTTCTCGAAACTTATACTTTTTGTGTCATTTCCCGTTTTTCCCCTTTGGTCTTTATATCAAGACATATAAAACGGGGAGAGACATAATATTTCATTCATAAAACACTATTTGTTTACAATCATACATACTTCCAATGTTTCAAATAAGTTACAATAAATTGCAACGCTGTAAACTGTGCGTCAATATTCACTCATACTGTCTAATACCTTAAAAATATTAGTATAGTACCTTAGGTACTTACCAAATTTTAATCCAAAAGAAATTGAAATTATGGTATGGTTAGGAGGTTGGCAATTTTGTCATGAGTTTTTTAGTAGTTATATTATCATACAAGGTTTAAAAGACACTATTTTGTCGCACGCGTTGGTTGGCGTACGACGGACGAGCGAAGCGAGGAGTGGCAAAAAAACTAGTGCGACAATATGTCCTATATATAACACGTGTAAAAGATACTATTTTTTTTATTTTGCATTCATGCGTACTCTTTTATTTGAAAAAAATCATCAATAAAAACATCAAATATTAGAAATATATGAAGTAAGTATAGTTGGTAACAACTGGTAACAGTGAACATTCGAATGTTCATTCCCAAATTTGACAGATGGTAGAAAAAATCCTGAATTACCTATTTTGAGAATGACTGAAGAGACAAAGTTGCATCCTTCCTGAACTAAAGAAATTTGCCCAAACTACTATAAATGATTTGTTGCCCAAGAAACCTCGTCCAACTTATGAATAAGAATTCCACAATTTCCACGTATATGGTGTCAAATTGGCGAGCTATACCACAAATGTAAACGGTTCTTGTTGACCTATATATCGCTATGGTTACTGCATAAATAGAATTAACACAATGGAAAAATGCCAAGAATCAATGCATCAGGATATCTCAAATTACCAAATCCTGAGATTTTTACAGTACATAGTTTTCGGCGTTTTAGTGTTTTACCAAATTAAGGCGGTGAAATCCTGAGCAGCTGCTGAAGGTTACATAGTTATAAGCTTTTTTGAAGTGAAAAATAATTGAGGTAGGTATAACTCAAATGTTTTCTTCTCAGCCTTCATCTTCTACAACACATTCTCATGCCTCTACCTCTTAGTCGCATTGCACAAACAATAACTTGACTAATGAGACTAATAAGCATAAGTTTCTCTCAACAGCAGCACAACAAAACTGACCAGAAAATTTGATTGGTAATAAATGCTCAAGATACTTGTAATGTTATAGTTATTTGTTGAGTTCTGTCTCTAGGCGCTTGTATAGTTGACGTTACCATTACCAAATTGAAATAATAGTAGGTAGCTGTTTCGATACTCATTTTATATCATTAAAGACGCAAAAAATACAAATACAAAATTCTTCGATACAAATTGAAAGTGAGTGTCCATCACGATTTTGTGTTGGGTTCCTGAATATGAAAATATTATGTCATCCATGACAGCCTGATGCTGCTGGTATAAGTTATTTTGTTTTATATTTGATCTAACTACCAATAAGGAAGCGAAATACAAAATCGAAAACATGCACAGCTAAAAATAAGTATACCAGAGTCCAATCAACTGCCGAAATACAAAAACGAAAACATGATGTCGACTATCAACACAGATATTCGAACCAATCAAAAACGTGTATTTTAAAATGAGTGGATTGATCGAAGAAACATACGGAATATACTAAAAACTGACATTTTATGAACTTCAATAAATGGTACTATATCATTGATATCGACCAACAATATCATAGTTATTTCATGTTATTCGTAGACCGTATTCAAATATTTTATTTAGATAAGAGACTCTGTTACCTTCATTATTAATAAGAAACATAATATCTATTTAATTGTGAATCTCAAACTTGACCTCTACCAGAAATTATATGAGTACACAGTGGTTAAGTAAAGATAAATACAATTATCGAAAATACACCTAGATAAGGACTAAAACGAGTGATTTTTGGAAATTTTTGCCGTGTATATCCTTTATGAATCATTATCATTGGGAAGAAGAAGATTAGTGTTATCAGAAATAGGTAGGTTTGAATACACAAAGCTGATGATTTCTTGTCTACTGAAAACAAATAGGGGTAATAATGGAACGAAAACAAGTAATTTTCTGAGGAATAACAAAACATTAAGGTACATAGGAGAATTTGACTTGCAATGCCGTCTAAATATCTAGACTGTCCGACGAGTAACCCGTCAGACAGTCTAAATATATAGACGTCATTGCCCATAGCGATATTCAATTTTACGTTGAATCCACGACGAGAAAAAGGTATGGGTGTTTTTTTTATGCTAGATATTTTCGAAATTCTTCTTTTGGAGTCGAGCCACTCGGGAGCTGTTAGCGATGAGAGAGATGAATCATCTCAAGACATAGTGTATGACAAAGATAGCTTCGGATTGGTGGTGGTGAAAAGAACGGATTTTGTGAAATGATACATATTTTAAGGGCTACATTTTCTTTACAAATTCCATCCTTCAACTATTATTGTGTTCTATATCAAATCTAGAAAATAATCTTTCTAGAACGAGAAGAGTGTTTCGAACAACGAACCTGTTATATGCTTTTTTTTCAAAACACTAAATCTTCTTGGTGTACAGCATCGAACAAAAAAATCAGGTAGGAGGCTGCGTTCCTGGTTCACTTCCCTCGACCCCCTGTGTTTTACAGGAGGTGCAGTGTGGGCGACAGATGGTGTGAATAGTGACTGCAATAATAATCGAAACACCTCCGGGACGTGTCAGAAAATGGGGCTAAACAGGTCCCTGAAACGACCTGCATAGGGTGGAAACCGTATACGATCGAAGGTACAAACATTGGCGTCCCCTAGGGTTGAAAAATCAAACGCAACAAAAATAATAGTAACTTTACTAACAAGTGCAGAAAAACACAATATTTTTTCTACAAGCGTGCGTGATTCACCCTATACCCACGCACGCAATTTAGTGCGGGAAAAGTTTTCCCTCACTAGTGCGGGAAAATTTTCCCACACTAGTGCACGAAGAACATTTATATAATATTCTCGCAAAATATGAGTGGTGGGTGACACAATATGAAAATTTCAGATTTTCTTGTTGCAGTATTTAGTAAGTTTTTTTACAAAATCATCCATCAAATTGCACTATTCATTGTGAAAATGAAGAAATATTGAAAAATAATAATTTATTGTTATATAAATCCCCCTATAGCCTTCAATTGATCTGATGTGGGAAACAATTGTTGTCATGTCAATCAAAACACAAATTAGTTAGTCAGAGTAATTATTCTCAGAGTGACAGACAGATCGTTACTGCCATTTTTGATTCATTTCAATTGCGATGAAAAATTTCCAGCTATACAGATGCGATACAGATGAGTTATTACCAACGAAGTCTTAAGAAAGGTATGGGAAGCACTATACACGGAATTGATTGAATGGTGCAATAGTAAAAAAGTGGAAACATCAAATAAAGAAGAAGTATTTTTGGCTCATTTCCTAGAAATGTCTGGAACCTAGGGGCCAAACATCATGGGCATGCTGGCATCTGCAATAAGCTTACCTACATACTACTTCAACCGGTACACACAATAGATATATCACTAATTATCAGAAGATAGAGAATATATCACTATTGTTACTTATTCCTAT